CTTGTCAAGTTACTTTTTCTCACTGAATGGGCTGACTTACAAACTCCAAAGTGTCTTACACACAGAAAAAATAATTTTCCATCTACCATATTAGTTCAAATAAGACCAACAAAATCCTGATCTACCTCATGGTGATTTTTGTCAATGCTCAAAACTATTTTTTAAGAAAAAATGTTTATCTGTAAAATTTATGATGTTCATGATGGAATTTTATAGTTCTATATAACTATAATTTCTAAGTAATTTGAAAATAAAATGAGAAACTGTGGACATATTTTCTTTTCTTCTCTTCTCTAATTCCATGCTTCTGAAATGCTCTGTAACATAATTCCAGAACAGCATGGACTTCATGATTCTAAATCATGGCAGTTAAAACAAATAATATGCAGGGTTTTTTTTTAACTAAATAAAATTACAGAATAGAAGCTCTATAACATGTAAGAAAATGTTTAAAAGCTGTTAGGTTCACTTGAATCTATACAACTGAGAATGTCATCCAATGGATAGTAATGCATAGACCTTATTGCTTTGGAAAACAGAAGTGATGAGATTTTTTTTCACTATGTCCTGCTCTAATACTTCTATTTACTCTCAAGTTGTTTAAAGGCCTATGCCATTCTAATCTGTGTTCATCCAACTTAATTTTTATTTTATTTTCTTATTCCTAGTGTGCCCTCTTTATGCAATAAGTGATCCAATGTTTTTAACTGAGTTCTGGATTGATTTTGAAAAACTGATATACAATCTATAATTACATATTCTTTGGATTATAACTAAGAATTCAAATTTTAAATGTAAAGTGATAATTGTAAAAGGGCACTATAGCAGATCTTCAATAACATAATTTTTTAAAGAGTTCTGATGAGATGTCTTAGGAACTTACCTCTTGTTTATATCAATTAGCCTATGCTAAAACTGGTTTCATTATCCATCCTTGCAGTTATAGTCACAGAACCAACAACGTTAAGTGAGGACTTAACACATTTTATAACACATCCTGTTGCTTAAGTGGGCCTTTGTTCTGTATGAAGGGTTCTCATCACACTCAGATTTCCTAGTAAAAAACTACGAAAACTCTCAATGGAAAGTGTCAAAGGAAGAAATGTTGGAGTTACTTAAATATCTAATTAAGAACTTAGAAAAAATGATTATTATTTCTAACATCAGTGTAAATCTCCCTCTCCTTTTCTACTACTACGCTGTTTAAAAAATGTTGACCTTATATGGAGCCTTTTTTTAAGGAAAGTAGCTAATTTCACACTGTGATAATCATTATTTTGATAGTTGCATATTTACCTTTCCTACTTCTGAGAATGTTTTCTTTAATTTTGTCAACCCAATGACCTTGTTGGTTTTCTTTATTCTGTATACATATTTCTAGTGTTAACATTTTTATTTCTATAACTTGTTTCTTTACAAAGTATCCCATTCCCTTTTACCTATTACCACTACTGCACTCACTTCTTAATACCCAGGTCACTCTTCCCAGTTACCAGAAACGATATCTCCAAATACTTTGTTTTAGTTCTCATTTAAAATCTACCAGGCCCCAGATTCCCTTTTCTCTCATTCTGATTTGCTGGGGTAGGAGAAAAGTGGAATAATTATGTAGGGTGTCTTCCATATTTTACCATGTATGAAGTTTTCCTAAATGAAATTCTTTAAAAGATTATTCCTTTCTTTTTAAAGCAAAGATTATTAAACCCTATAAATATTGAAGCTTATGTCAGTCAAAACTTCATTCTAACCTGCTTTCCTCATTTTTTGCTTTTATTACTTTCTAAGTTAATGAAATAAATTAGTTACATATGATTTTTCAAACCTTACAAACTTTGCAGATCTCACAGGAATTTTTCCTTTGAAATAATTTTGAAGCACTTTTATTCATCTCTAGTGAACAAATTATATTTACGGCTAATAGTTAACTTTGAATTCTTGACATGTTGATACTCCTTAGTTTTTTGAAAGCCTCTCAAACCTCAAAATTTAAGAAAATATTCCCAAATGGTAGACCCCTTAGTATCTTACTGCTCATTCATTTTTACCTTTTTCTGTGTTGCATTTATTTTCAGTCTTTTACAAAATGTTTTAGAGATCAGCTAACAAGCTTGCTAGGTAGACTCATTTACCTATTCTTCCTTTTCTATTCTATTGCTCACCTGGTATCTTCTATTTTTGTAATTGGTTATATCGCACATTGCAAAAGATCGGTATGCATTGTGTGTTATGCCTGCACATTCCCCAATATTAGCTTGTAAGTTATTTCCTCACCTAGCACATTTCTATAAACTCACAATTGGCAATTTAGCAATCACCAGGAAGATAGAAATATCAGAGCAAAGGCTAAAGTGGCAGTGGCAACTGAAAAGCAGTTTTGTATTCCGTCTGCCCTTTAAAAAGCAGAGCTAAATCTGGGTCATTACATTCAGCAGGGAGTTTGAAACACCCTCCAACTTTGTGCTGCTTGATGATGAGTGTCTTTTGACCTAGTTTTTCACAGGAAAAATGCAAGGCTGCCAGGCAATGGAGGCTCTAAGTGTTGCATTTATGCCTTTCTGTTGCTAGAAGGATTCCTAAGGTAAGATTCAGGATTTGTTTCTTTCCAAGAAACAATAATGTGGTTGTGTTTGCTATCTCCTGACTGTGAGGCCTTGATCTTTTACTACTGTTTCAGGCTGTATGCAAATTGAGGCAAGATGGTCTTGGTGCCCATGAACTCGATGAAAAGTTAGACACGCTTCTTCCTGCCCCTAGGGTTTTGATCTCTCCTTTTTCTTAGAGGATTTACTTTACAAAACTTGTAATTGTTAATACTTTCTCTCTTCTTTTGAGATGTGGACCCTTTTAACAGGCAATTGCCAGCTTTATAGTCCAGAAACGTTTTTCTCAAGGACCTGGAAGCCATTCCTTTGAAATGCCAACACCCAGGGAGAGAGCACACAGTCCATCAGTTTTGAGAGAGGCCAGGAGCATGATTTGAGTGGGCGCCTTGTTTTAAGTTGTAAAACAACGTTCTGCCACAAAAGGAGAAAGGTTACTTTTCCTTTAGGTACAGCCAATCAGCAAACACAGATGTCCTGTGTTCCCTCCTACATGAGCACTTAAAAATCCTCCCCTGTACCCTTTGTTTCAGCAGAATTATGATTTTTTTATTTTTAAATTAAATTGATTGGGGTGACATTCGTTAAGAAAACCATACAGGTTTCAATTGAACAATTTTATGCTACATCATCTGTATATAGCATTTTTTGTTTACCACCCAAAGTCAAGTCTTCTGTCACCATATGTTTGACCTTCTTTACCCTTTACTAGCCCCACCCCCTTCCTTCTGTTAAGTACCATACTGTTGCTGGTGTTTATGAGCTTTTGTTTGTTTGTTTTTCTTATTTGTTCATATATTGTTTTCATTTTTATTTCCCACATATGAGTGAAATCATATGGTTCACAACTTTTTCTGTCTGACTTATTTTGCTTACCATGAAAAGTAAACACTGAGCTCTGGTCTCTCTCTCCGATTGCAACAACCTTCAGTAAGGACCTGCTTACTGATTAACTTAGGGCAATATTTGCCTTGACAAAATATAATTTTAAAATTACTGAGGCTGAAAAATGCTTAAGTCTGTCCATAGCATTGCTGCCTTGATTTCAGCATCTAAAGCCTATGCATTTCTCTTTTCATAGAAGCTTCATTTAAATATGTACGTTTCTCTTTTCCTAGAAGCTTTCCCTAGAAGCTGTTATATTGGTATTAGCAAACTCCTCTCCGTGAAAAGCCAAACAAACTCTCAAAGGAGATAGATTCCCATTAGTTCCAATGTCTTTGGCTTTTAGAGGCTGATCTTCAGACACCATCACTTGTTTCCCTGGGAGCAAAAATACTGAAAATGCAGCTCCTTGAACTAGGGTCCTGATGCGTTGATAATCAGGCTGTAGTCTACCTTTCTTTTTTCACTTAATGATCAAGAGTTCAGACCTAAAAAATACTCATTCGTACTACCTTCTTTCAGTACTATCATAAGATTTTTAAAAAATATCTCCTTTTATCTTATGAGTTGTAGAAAGGGACTAAAATATTTCAAATGAATGTGAACCCTGATCATGCTCTGAAAAACAGGTTTTATGTCTTCTAACTCTCTCTTAGCATTTCACATTATATCTAATTTGTTTTCTCATCTCTTTTCTCCACTTGTACCATGAGCTTCTGAAGGGCAAAGGCATAGTTTATTCATTAGTTTATTTTCCAGAGATTGAGCTAGTACTGGCACATTAAGCAACATTACAAAAATGTTGAATAACTTAGCAAAATTATTTGACTTCACCAAATATAATAAGGTGCAAAGACCAATAGGAAATGTTAATATAGAGGATCAGAAACAAGTTGTTTTAAAGTCTAGTCATTTTCACAATTCTAAGTACTTTCATGTCCATTTCAACTAAGTTTATAAAGTTCACATTAAAAAGGAAAAGAGACTCATGGACATGGACAACATGTGGAGATTGCATGGAGGAGTGGGGTATAAAGGGACCAAATGGTAATGGAAAAACATACAATAAAAATTTACTGAAAATAATTAAATGTTCTGGGGAGGTATTAGCATTAAAATAGCACCAAAAAAAAAAGAGTTATTTGAACTCCTCTTTTCCAAAATGAAAGAACATTTGCATTAATTTCCCTTTCTAATGCTCTAAATATAGACATAAACAAATTCTCATTTGACAATTAATAACCTTTCTGCTCCTCTTCCAAGCCCATCTATTATTCACTTTTATAAGCTAGTTTAAATTCTGGCTTATATAAGTGGAAGGAATATGGTATATCTATACATATATACATTTATAATTTCAATGACAAAAGTAAAAGTAATCTAACTTTTCTCTGTTAGTCTTTCAAATAGAAAAAATAAAAAATACAGTCTGTATTTTTCTTTAATCTTTAAATCCTGCACTCAAATTCTAAAATTTACAAGACATCAGTGTGAGCTACAATTCTTTTACTGTACCTGTATATGCAAATTGAACAAGATCCCAGAGGGCATTGGGGTCTATGCCTTCCATCTTGATCTCCTCTTGCTTGGCTTCACAAACATCACTTGTAAACATGGCAGCAAAGTAGTCTGAGACTGAGCTCAGAACAAGCCTGAAAGAGCCAAAGGATCCAATTTAGGCCATGAATATAAAGCATCGAAATGCAAAGTTCAACAACAATGAAGTGCAGGGCAGTCTATCTCTCTGTTTATCTATCTGTCATCTATGTATCTGTCATCTATCTATTAATCTATATTACCTATGGATTGTACTTTTAAAAACTGATTTAGGAAATTCTGCTTAAAACTTTGGTTATAGAGCATTCTCCTACATTTTTTTCCCTATCATTCTAAATACATTTTCCCTTTCACATTTACTTCTTACATCCTTTTGGATAAGAATCCAAATTTATTTCTCTCTAAATATTCACCCACTTTTCATCATAACATCTACTAAATAATTTGATTGGCCCAGTAAATTAATGCTGCCACCTATATCATGAACTTGAATACTAAATATTTACTAATCTCTGCCTGGGAATTCTATGTGTGTGTGTGTGTGTGTGTGTGTGTATTCACTGGTTCTTATGCCAACAAAATATTCTTTTTTATATATATGATAAATATATATAAATATAATTTTCTTGTATTATATTTCCTTATCTGATTCTTCAATCAAGATTATACAAACCGCATTAAATGCTGGTAGTTTCAACTTTTTAAAATTTTTATAGAAAAATTAATTGTTAGAAAACATTTAATTTTTATTTTAAAATGGCCTGGAACTTACCTGAAAAAAATAACACATTGGTTTGTCTAATTTGGGAAAGAGTGACATATCAATCTGGTTTCCTTTTTTTGAAGGTTTTATTTTTTTATTTTTAGAGAGAGGAAAAGGAAGGAGAAAAAAAGAGAGAGAAACACTGATGTGAGAGAGAAACATCAATCATTGATTGGTTGGCTCTTGCGTGCACCCCAACCAGTAGTGCCCTGACTGGGAATCGAACAGGCAATATTTTGCTTTGTGGAACAACGCTCAACCAACTGAGCTAAACTGGTCAGGGCTCAAACCTGTTTTAATTATTAAATAAGACATAAGACATTATTTATGTGCTCTATTTTTGATTCATCAGTAATTGCATTTTATATTTTTCAAGAATATATCCATTTTATCTCGGTTCTGAATTTTACTAATACATATATTGTTCATAAAATTATTTTCATGTTACCCTGGCCTACAGTGGCTCAGTTGGTTGGAGTCACCAAATACATAAAAAATGTCCAGGTTCCATCCTTGGTCAGGGCGTATACCTGTGTTTGGGAGGGGTAACCGATTGATGTTTTCCTCTCACATTGACATTTGTTCCTCTGTCTCGCACCCACCTCTCTCTCTAAAGTCAATAAACATACCCTAGAGTGAAGATTTTAAAAAAAATATTAAAAAAGATGTTTGGGGTTAGTTCTGCCAATATGTTTAATTTTTCATGTGTTCTTTTGTGCTAGTCTTTTTATTGTCTTTTGTTTTAGTCATTAACATTTTAACTACAACTTTTCTTGTGTGAATATATGTTTCTCTTGAGTAGAGACCAGATTTATTTTTCTTCAATAAGCCAGATATTAAGTGTTCTTGTCATTGGGAGTTATACATATAGTCTCTGTCACACATTTCCCTTAAAATTGTTTAATTGATTAAAAATGCAAAAATAAATTTTAGCTTATAACCCACACAAAACAAGAAGCATACCAGATTTGGTCCCTGTATAAAAATTTGCTGACTCTACCTAGAGTTTAAAATATTTATTCTTAGCTAATGATTTCTATCATTAAATAAAACAATTTTATGAATTTTGTAAGAACCATACAGTTTTATAATCCTGCTTACCTCTCTGCTAAGTCAAGAATATTTTTAAAGAGGAATATGCATGTGAAAAGAAAATTTTATTTTATTCTCCACCATTTCTGGTACTCTTTATCCATTTCTGAAGAAGTAGATTTTAACCAGGTAACAGCCAAATATATTCATTCATTATATCTTGTAGTTCAGATCTGATGACAAAAAATTCTCACAACTTTCACTTTACAACTGAAAATGTCCTCATTAAGTTATATAAAAAATATCTAGTAAAAGTTATTTTCACTTGACAAAAATTTTACATTGAGAGATTTTACCCTCTTTGGGACTATTAAAATAATATTCAATTATGTTCTAGACTCAATTGTTATGAATAGAAAATCAGTTTTTCTTCATAGATTTGTTGCCCTGATTAACTAGGTTTCGTATCCTTAATTATTTATTTTTCTCTTTATTTTAGAATTTTAGCAGTTTAGTTTTTATATCTATAGATGTGGGTTCATGGCAGTATTTACTCTGCTTATGATATTTTGAGCTATCTGGGGCATGGGTTAGGGTTAGGGTTAGATCAAATTTAGAAAATTATCTACAAAAGATCCCTAATTTTTTTTCACTTAATTCATACTCTTTTCAGAACTCTAATTGTGTATGTTTCAGTAGTTGACAGTGTCTCAAAGGTTGTTGAATCTCAGTTCGTTTCTCTCTTAAGCTTTCTTTTTTCTGTGCTTCACTATAGATTATTTTTAGTGACTTGAGTCTTTCAAATATTTCTTGATAACTTTATTTCCTTTTTCACTATTTTAAATTATTTTTCACAGTTGCTTTAATGCCTTTGCTAATAAGTTTAACACCTGAATCATGTCTAGGTTAATTTGCATGACTAATTTTATTCTTGACAATGGACTATATTCTCCCACTTTTCCTAATATATTATAAATTTCAGGTGGATAGTGGACATTGTGCCAAAAAAATGTTGAGGTGAGGAAGAGAGTATCACTCTAGTTTACAGTTGTTTTTTTGAAACAGCTTTTTAATAACTTCAATGAAATAAAGTATACACATTTTATTTTTCCGGTGACTTTTGTTGTTTTAATGAGATTGAAGATTTTTCATGTATTTAAAAATTCCAAGTGGAAATACGAGTTTATAAAACCATTGAGTAAAACACTTAACAATATTTAATGATTCTAAAGAAATAGAGAACTATTTTAAAAAGTGCACTGTAGTTAAGAGGCTTTCCCCTCTATACCCTCCTCTACCTTTCGCCACACACTCCCCCCAAGCAATAACCACACTGTTGTCCACATCCATGAGATTTTTTTCTCTTTTTTTAAAATTTATTTATTTATTTATTTTTAGGGAGGGAAGGGAGGGAGAAAGAGAGAGAGAGAAACATCAATGTGCTGTTGCTGGGGGCTGTGGCCTACAACCTAGGCATGTGCCCTGACTGGGAATCGAACCTGCGATGCTTGGGTTCGCAGCCCGTGCTCAATCCACTGAGCTATGCCATCCAGGGCTTCTCTTTTTTAAATTTATGCTCAATTCCTCCACCCCAATTCAGACCCCAAACTCCCCACCTTGACACCTGTCAAACTGCTCTCTATGACACTATTTTTCTTGTTCATAAGATTCCATGTATGAGTGAAATCATATTGTATTTCTCTGCCTCTGATTAGCTTATTTTACTTGGGATTATGATTTCCAGGTCTATTCATGCTGTCTCAAAGGATAAGAGTTCCTCCTTTTTTATGGCTGAGGAGTATTCCATTTTAAAATGTACTATCATCAATACATCAACAAACAAAAAGTGTTGGTGAAACTATGGAGAAAAGGGAACCCTTCTGACTGTTGATGGGAATGAAGATTGGTGTAGCCACTGTGAAAAACAGTATGGAGTTACTTTAAGAAATAAAAAATGGAACTGCTTTATAACCTAGCAATACCACTTATGGGAATATATCTACAGAAACCTGAAACACTAATTTGAAAGAATATATGCACCCTTATGTTCATTGTAGTGTTATTTACAATAGCCAGGGTTTGGAAGCGGTCCAAGTGTCCAGAATACATACATACATGATGTGTTGTGGAATCGTGCACCCGAAACCTGTATAATTATGATAACCAGTGTCTCTCCAATAAATTCAATAAAAAATGAAACAAAGAGATTTGATTTAAAAATTCTGAAACTTCTTTCTGTTTAAAGTAGAGTATAAGAAATTAGTATATTCTTAAGACTCCTCAGGAAAAGATTACTCACTGATGGAAAGCAGAGTTACAAATATAGAAAGGGAGAAAACTAAAAAAAAGAAAAAACCCTATGATGTATTAATATTAAAAAGAAGTAATCATTTTTGTGTATGTGTTTAATATCAGGAAGGACATGTGTGTGTGTGAGTTCAGGTCTCCTTGGGTAAAGAAAGGACACCAGGACTAGAGCAAGAAAATCGCAAAGTGTACCTCAAGCACCTTTTATTCCAGAAGGCCACAAAATATTAAAAAAGTGAAGGGCACACTTCAAAAGAACTAAATATGATCATTACATCTGTAAGCTAAACAACAGTAAATTCTACATTTACTGTTGTAAATAGTACTTTTCTTTCTAAGAATCTAAGAAAAAGGAGAGGAAGAAAGGTCAATTCAGGGCATTACTATTTAAAACTTCCTATGCTTTCAAATCAGGAAAAAAATCATTTAAAATTCTTTATTTTGCAATTTTATCTGCTTTTTATTTATTTTTGTTTAAGGTGACAGCATAGTGAAAGCTCACTTCCACAAATATAGATATTCCTTCTTTATATTTTATTTCAAAATATAGTTCATGCATTTAAGAAGTACTTTATGGGATCTGTGATTTTAGGTGCTAACTCCTAGGGAGGTAACATGTTAAAACTATTTGGAGTCATCAGTTTGTTACATGTTTATTTGGGCAATTAGTAACTAAACCTGTCAACAGTGTATATTTTCAAAGAATAACAAAATAATTAAGACAGTTATCTTCAATGTTTATTATATACAATAAAGTAAATTATAAAAAACAAGTATGTATTACATACCAATCAGATAATTTAGTATCAAATGACTAGTTTTATCAAAAGAACAAAAGATAAATTTGTATGGTATAAAAATAAACTATAATAAACCAGAAGGCTATACCGGGTCCTACAGAAATAATACCCTTTTTCATTACAAAATTATAAGCATGTAATTCTCTAACATGACAACATAACACTCAAGCACACAATATGACATTGTAGGTGA